TTCAGTTTGACGAGGGTGATGATCAAATTGAGAACTATGACTAAATACAATTTACATTAAAAAATACAGAAAACTAAATGATAATGGGAAAGATTCAAATGCACTAAATGCTGTTTTTATTCAAAATGTGTGTATGTGTGGAGTAGAAAAACAACATCTGCTGCTTCTGCTCTATTTGATCATATCAGACATTTGAGCTTCTTCTCTCAAGATAAACATCAAGAAGTAAGCAGCACCTTTTCTATTCTAATCCATACACCAGATGAGAACACCTGTAACCATGGCAGCAGAACACAACAGATGCGGCAACGAAATGTTTACAAGACAAAAATTTGATAATTTCGAAATACTGACTGACAATAACTATCAGGTCTTTATATTTGTTGGCTGAAGTCCAAAACCAAATCAAGAATCAAACAGCTAAAAATGGATCTTTCCATTACCCTGGACAGAGGAGGTTCCAGACTTTACACTCACATGTCGCCCACATTAAAACAAATCTTCTAGACTCTGAGGTGACACTTTCATAGATTTCTTTTTTGTTGCTGCACTGCAAATGGTAATTAAAAGAATCCCCTTGAATCCCCAGTGAGCTGCAGAACTGACATCCTCATTTTAATTATGGTCACACTTGCTTTTAGAGGTTAGCTCTGATATGTTTATACAAAGCAACAAAACAAGTACTTGTGACAAAAAGAAGAGTTAAAAATATCATCAATTATATTATTAATTCAGATACATAAATGTTTTTTATGTCTGAAAGACTGTTCCTGAAGTGTAGAGTACAGTATTGTGCTCAGTGTTTTCTGTGCAGGTCTGTGTGGTTGTTGTTCAGATGTCTGACTGTGTATGGAATTGATGGAGAGTTGTGTATTGCACAGTAATTAATTTCTCTGTATAGTATAAGCAGCCTCAGATCTCAGTGTCAAAAAGCACAAACTTTACTATCACATAAATTCTAACACTTCATGTCTCATAAGAGAATCAGGCAGCAAAGGGTTTCTGGGAAATGTAGTGTTAATATTGAAAAGGCATTGGAACTGAAACTGGCACAGCATCCTCAGGAATTCCTCAGGAAAGTTGAAATGTTTAAAGCATAGACTGTATATAAAAAGGGTTAAACTGTGCTTCTCCTATATTCTGGTCCCTGTGAACTTGTCTATTTACATGCTTTTATTGTTATGAAATATATTATAAGATGACATTTAATTTGTGTCTGTGGGGGTTTTCCTTTGGTTCTCCAGCTTCGTCGTACAGTCCAAAGATGTGCAGGTTAAATAGAGGCTCTGAATTGACTTTTGGTGTGAATCTCTGAATTTCACCCCGGTAATAAGTTGGTGACATGTACTTCCAATGACCCTCAAAGGATTGATAATGGATGGATGGATGGATGGATGGATGGATGGATGGTTGAGATGTTTCACAAAAAAACAAATGTGTAACTGTTAAAGTAAAAGTGCTGCTAATAGATGCACTGCATGAATGTGTGTGAATGGGTTTAATGGCAAACTGTATTGTAAAGTGCTTTGAGTGGTAGTCAAGACTAGAAAAGCGCTGTATAAATACAAGCCATTATCAGTAGTTTGATGAAAGGCAGTGTGAATCATCCTCTACAGACCATGAATGTGTCTACATTTTAATATAATTATGGTTTTGAGACTTGTTGTCTGTTCTGCAGTGGTGGACTGACCAACATCACCTCAGAGCTACAGAGTCACGCTGCTGTTTATTAAGGATTAGCTATCCCAACAAATTACCAGACTTATTTGCAATTATTACATTAACCACATTACTCTCACAGCCTCATGATACATTCTCACAAGAGTGTCTGTGTGATAGGAGCTAAAACCTGTCCTTTAATCTCTATCTGTTTCATGGACTTAACATTAGAAACAATGTTCCTCATCTTATTAACAATCAGTAATAATCACAAATCTCCAAAAACGTCTGAGAAGCTTTCTGATTCAGAAAAATTTTTATTTCATATGCAAGACGTAAATGTCAACATGGATAAGCTGTTTAGGGGATTTATCTTTTTATAGAGTTGTATAGATTTAAACACAGTGATAGGCAGGTTCTATCAGTGAGGAGGAGGAAGGACACGTTAAAATGTGCTGATATACATTCATGAACTATGAACCACTTTTCATTAGCAATTAAATTAAACGACCCTGACAATAATCAGGATTACACTTTAACTCAGTTTTAGTATTACCTTTATTTTTGAAAATCGTTTTATAAATGTTCATTTTACAAAGCTTGCAAATGGACTTTCCCCAGACAAAAAAGTCGGAGATTATGTGGAACCATCTGTATTCAATACAGCTATTAAGATTAATAGATATGTGTGGAACTGAAATATGAGAGAGAAATATAGATTGTAGATTTTGGACAGAACAAGCCTCTGGGTTTACTTGTTGTTAGGAAGAGACACACACACACACATACACACACACACACAATCTCTGCCCACACTGTCAGTCAGGAGACCAGGGGTCCTAAGTGACACATCACCACAGATTAGTATTTTTTCCTGAGCTGGGTGGAGGTGGAGAGCCATGGTGGAGGGTAATGATTGTTTCAGAGGGGTCTTGAACTTCAAAGCTTTGCTCCCCACTGTAGCAAAGAGGGAAGCTGGACTCGCTGTGGCCACCGTGCCCCCTCAGCTCTTTCATGTCCGTGGTAAGAACCTTCAACTGGACCCCAGCTTCCGACACATACAGGAACGGGGTCGATACCTGCTGATAATGTCACACAGCATAGATAGCTATAAATGACTGAATCAGTTATCCTGGCAAATCCATGCCTGTAGATAAGTGTTCAGAGCTGGAGTCAATAAATGGTAATCATTTGTATTGATTCTCTACAGGTTGTTTGATTAGTGAGTGACTGGGTGTTAGAGGTCACATGCCAACAACTCATCCATATCTCACAACTCAGTTGACAGTTATGTCACTTGGCCAAAATTGACTTTCTATAATGTTAAAAAATGTCCCATTCATCAGAACAAGGGGAAGGATTTTATAAATACATGAAACCCATGAGATGTCCCATCTAGGCTGGGCACACATTATGATCCCAAAGAAGGATCAAGCTGGAGGACGTTGCCTGGGAAGAGGGCGAGTGGACTACCTGGCTCAGCACGTCATTTAGGCTTTTGAAAGCCCAGTCTGGGTCAGCATTCATCGAGTGTGGTGTAGTCGGAGCGTATCTGAACCCTTTGCCTTTGCGTGAACCTCTTGATTTGTCATCATCCCGCTATAGAAAGAGAACAAGGCAATAAAAAGCAGAATGACTCCACCCTGCCATTGAGATGGCTGAGATTAGCATCGCAGCAGTCTAGTGGCCAGTATCTCCTCGTCTGACATGCAGAAGACTGGCGTTTGATTCCCAGATGGGGGGTGCATCTGTGTTTTCCACTCAGTCTTTGTCACAGACAGCACCGATGCTGTCAGAATCAATGCTCCATTCCCCTGACACAACAGAATGGTCAGCCAAGAATGTCATCAAAGTGCTTTCTGGATAGAGACAATCACCTAACACCCACTTACAATCAGCCTGTTTTCTAAGACATTGGGTCAAATCCACACACTTTTGGATTTGGGGGCCTTAATTGATTATGCACGAGACTTGACCAGCTTGGATGGAAAGCCTGCACTCAAAGTGAACTTTGTTGCCTTTTACTTCATCTGCGACAATATCCTTTTTAGGATCTCTCTCTGATATCTTACGCGCGATAGGTCCTCAGCATGAACCTGGGCAGAAACTGCGCTGATGCTTTTGTCAAACACAGTGATGCCAAATTTAGCTGACGCATAGTCATTGTGACTCACAACCGCTGTGTCTCCACATCCACACCAACAGACAATTATCCTGTTTTCTTTGAAACTGGGCCAAATCCACACACTTTTGGATTATTGAATCTCAACGGATTTTGAAGAGATACAGTAGACATGAAACACTTGGATGGAAGGTCTGCACATCCATGATCCAGCCACTTCCTCACAGTGAACTTTGTTGCCTTATCTATCATTTGATAGAAATTTGGTAATCATGGCAGCTCAGTTATTGTACTGTAGTGGTTATAACATTTGCTTAATATGCAAAAGGTCCCCAGCTTGAAACAGGCTAGAAACAACATCCTGCACTGATGGCGGTTTAAATGACCCTTTGCAGCGCCTTCCCCTGTGCTGTGGTGCAGCTGGAGAACCACACAGAGAGGCTATCTCTCACACAGTGAGGTGC